TTTAAATGTAACATTGAAACAAATTCGAAGGCTTTTCTTGGGCCATCTTTGTAAGTAATTTGCCGGCAGCTTCTCTTAAGGACACTGGGAAGGGATAAAAGTGACTAACAGCTAAAGGGCTGTCCTATTTCAGCTCACGGCAGCTACTCAGACCCTCCATGAGGCCCTTTGGAAAGCAATCATGACAACCCCTGTCCCCAGCCAGGGGCAAGGCGTGTTAGGTCAGCAGGACTTCAAATCAAACACATCAGTGTGTGCTCAACTTCCATTTTGAAAGTTGGGGGGTGGGGGGATCAGAAAGCATTTCTTGGCAATTAATTTAAAATATTTCAAATGAAAACACATGTTCTTGAGACTATGGAGGAGAGTACGATAGCATTAAACCATGTAAACAACTCTAATAACAATGATACAGACTTCTGGGACAGACCTTCCAATTCCAGGCTCAGGCAAGGCTGTTCTCTAAGGATGGCCTGTGCACCCTTCCTGGAAGCATTCGTCACTCTGGAACCCAAACCCAAAGACAGCTCATCGCAAAAAGAGACAAACAGCCAAAGGAGGAGCTTCAAGGCCAACCCTGAAGAATGTGAAATCATTGTATTTATGTGTAACCTACTTTAAATAAATGAAAGCTTAATAGTTGGGAGCTGGACTCTGTGTGTTGGGACTTGTAGCTTTTGGTCGATGATTGCATTTTGTTACTTCTTAGGTCAGAGTGCCATGTGCTGTCCGGTTACCACTGCTTGACTTTCAACGATTATGGGAAAGTTCTACACATGTGGAACAGAGTGTAGTCAGACGGCATGAGGGGCTTTGATATACATGTCAATCCCTCCCATTATGTATGTGCCTCACACAAACAGTTTGTGAACAAATAGCAGAATCTGAATGATTTTTCAAAATATTCTGAGTTTTTTTGTTTTTTTTTTCCTCCTGAGAGAAAACTCCTTGCTTTAGGCAGAAACATAAGTTCTTTGAAGCTGCTAGGACCTCTCAAAGGTTCAAGTTAACACTGGTGATCACAAGTGAAGGATGATCTTTCCAAAAAACCACTGTGGCAGCCAAGGCAGATTTTGGAGATGCCACCAAAAAATGGCGAAGGTTGGAATAGAATACTTTACCACTGGTTGTGTGAAATGCTGTCATTTCCAGTTTCACATGATTATAAAAAGCCCAGGCCTATGTAGAGTAGAAGGAAGTCACTGCCTGCTGTTCTCGGAGCGGCAGGGCTCCGCCAGAAGTAAGGCTGCCCACTGCCCTGCAGGCCTGGCTACCAAGCCGGACTGCTGGCGAACCCCTTCTAATAGGACACAGGCCACTGGGAGGAGCCACTCAGCTAAGGGGACCTGCAACATTGACCTGGGCAATTAAGAGTTATTTTGGCTTCCAAACTCAAGCCTTTATAGGCAACCATCTCTCACAGGGAAGTCCTCTACCCTCAGGTTCTGTCCTCAGACCTGTGGGTGAAGGTGAAGCTGCCCAAACAAAGCCAGGCAGGCCCAAGCCAGAGCCTGATGCCACGTTCTAGTGAGGAAGCCTCTGCCCCATGTTCCCAAGGCCCACACATTGACACCAGCATGGCCTCTGCAGTGTGAGCTGTGCGCCCAGGCCCAGGGCTGCTCCCCAAGGCAGTGGACGCTGCCTGAATGCCAGGCACTGCTCCTACAGGGAAGGGATCTTTTTACACTTTTAAAAATAACATAGAGGAGGAAAACTTCCTTCTAGCCTCTTAGGTTCTGTGGCTAGTGTAAGCATTTAACTGAAATAAGGCAGATAAATGGGAGAAAAGTATACACATTTCATATATTTTTACATGTACATGGGAGTCTTCCGAAGGACAGTGAAGACTGCCCAGAAGCCGTTGGGCTCCAAAGCTTAGAAGGGAAGTTGTGGGTATGTGACCAGACAAAAGCTCTTGGGCCAGCGGCAATACACTGTGGGGCAGTGACCAGGGAATGCGGGGTGGGGGGATGAGTGAGGGAGGGTGGTGGTGGTGGTGGGGGAGAGACACACTAATGGAAAGCCAGGGCTATTTGGTAGGTTTGTTTGTACATGTCCATTCCAGCCTGCCCCTCCTTCCCCATCTCTGGTGATAAGAATGTTCTCGTCTTGCTGATGCAGGGAGGGCCCCTGTGTCAGGGGGAATGTGCTGATCTGCTTTTAGGCGGGAGTAGGAGAGCAGAGAACTTCTCCTGCATCCGGCGACTCTCAAGGGCCTTCAGCTCAAAATAGTCAATATGCTGAAGTGGAATGTTTGGGGGAGCATGCTCTGAACCCCTTCAATAACAGTGTCCTGACTTCATGCCTTGACGACAGAATTTAATCTCCCCACACTTCAGATTGCAGGGAAACTGAGATGTAGTAAAGGCAGTCAAGTAATTGTGGGAAAAAGACCTTCTAGGCACATTTTTTTCTTTAAATGATCAATCCAGACTCTGACCCTCTTCTCACGACGGGGACAGTCCTCTGGGAGGACACGGAGCTCATGCTAATCTGCAATTCAGATTCCCCCGCACTCCCGCCGCTTACCAGCTCTTCCTCCGAGCATTTCCCTGTGGCCTGTGCCTGCTGACAAACCGTGTGTGAGAGTCCGAAGTCCCTGTGGCACCAACTGCTTATTAGTGGGCGGGGGAAATCCAAAATAAAACACGGTCCAATCATTTCCCTTAACAAAACATTTATTTGAAACAGGTTTGTGCAGACATACACCAGTCAAGAGGATTGATCAAAGCCACAAATCACTACATTTCCCAAAACCTCTAAAAATACAAGTAAATGCCCTTCATTTGTATTCACTCCAGGAGGGAACCCAGCTCCGCTATAATGTGCTGCTGTAATTTAACAACCAGAGGACATTAATGGGATGTGAAAATGGTAACACTTCTGGAGGGAGGGAACAAAACCCCCGCGCTCCACAGAAGAGCTCACCGCTCTGCTGGGAGCCAATTAGAGGTGCCCCACAGCTCCGCTCCTCTCCGCATAACCAGATTAAAACCTCCCCGTCACAGGCAATATTTAAGCAATCTAAGCACAGAAGTGACAGCAGACAGGAGAGCACATGGCTTCACTTGCGTGAGGAAACACCACAAAGATGTTGCCTTCAAACGGGGATCCGGTGACCTGCAGGGAGGGTGACCCACGGAGGCTGGCCGCAGACCCGGCTGCCCAAGGCCGGCCCTGTGGGTGCCACCCCTGCAGCCGGCCTGGCTGCAGCTGCTGGCATTGCCCTCCGGAGGAGAGTTTGAAGGCCGGCAGCACGGGAGAGTGAGAGCCCTTGTATTGAGTTTATGAATGAAAAAATCAGAACTGTCTTTCCTTGCCCAGTGATCTCTTTGGAAGGAGGAAGGCTCTGCAACAGGGCAGACTTTCCTTTGCGGCTTCTGTATTGGTGTTTATTGATCCACCTGCACACCACGCTGCCTTAAAGAACCTAACTGAACCCAATCCCGGCGGGAGTGGGTTCACATCCTGATCTTTGGGCTCTCTCCTTTCTGGCTCTCTTTCTTCCACTCGGAGAGCTTGCCCATAAAAAGCTCTTGATAAGCTCTCTTGACCCCTGAGTTTCCTGGGCAGCACTATTTGGGTAGCGCTATTACTTCAACTTTCTTCTTCCTATTTCTGTCATAAATCACCGCTACCTGACACTCGGTTCCTGACTTTTAAAACGAACAGGACTCCTTTCTTCCTTTAGCCGGGACAGAAGAAATGCCGATGGACTAATCTTGTGTGTTTTTCTTGGTCTGATGCCTGGGAGAAAGCAGAGTAGATATCTCTTAGGCAACCAGAGCAAGAGATTGTCATTGGAAAATGAGCCAGCCTGGGTGTAAAAAGAATCATTCCTTTGTGTCCCCCAAGTCAGGGAGCAGAGGTGTTTGTCAGACTTAGCAGCGAAGCATCAGGCTGGGGGCAAGGAAATGCTTCCATTTCTTTTGAGGCTTCTGGCCGCTTCCATTTATGTTGGTTCAGCAGCCTTGCCTTCCCACTGAACACTGCACCCCGACTCACAAGTCCCCCATACCCAAAACACGGAGAGAGAGTTCAAACAGAGTACCCATATGAGCTTTGGCATTAGACGTAGCTGCTGTGATGGAGAATGGAAATGTGTACTGGGGGATAATTTGGGGTGCTGAGAAAAAAATACATGAAGAGCACAAATCAGGCTAGTATTATAGGTCTATCCCTTTTGAGAAAACTTATTAACATATCATTATGGGGGGGTCTATGACCCATGGAAACCCTTCTAATGGTTCTTCTTGCCCTTCAAGATGGACAAGTGGCTGGAATGAGGCTCAGTATTCTCCCCCAAGGCTACCCTGGGACAAACACAGCCTTCAGCAACAAAGCCAAGTGATGTTGCTCCCTCCTTGTGTGTGTGTGTGTGTGTGTGTGTGTGTGTGTGTTTTTGTGTGTGTGTGTGTGTGTGTGTGTGTGTGTGTGGCGGTGGGTTGCCTCCTCCTTGTTTGGGGAGGGGGGTAGAGGGACAGCTTTATTTTCACTATCTCCATCACTATTGTATTTGCCAATGAAATCATTTGCATAAAGACAGTATTTAGTGAATAGGATGGGGGATGCCACCTTTTGACTTGACCCGATAAACACATTTCTTAGCAAATTATTACTTCAGGTTCTGCTTAACCATAGTCAGTTTCCCTATTCACATTTTTTTTTTTTATGGTTCCCAGGAGATGAGAGCTACATTTCAAATGCTGAGGCTAAATCACTTCTTGAATTACGTTGGGACAATGACCCTGGGCAGTAATTCAAACCCTGGCTGAAATGTGTGCCGTTTTTTCACATGTTCAAAACCAAAGACAACATTCTATTGCAAACATTCTATTCAACTTATGGTCTAAGACATAAACACCCAGGACAAGAAGCTGATAGGAAGTTCTCTTCCGATGCTTCAAAAATAAAAATAAATAAAAATAAATAAATAAATAAATAAGATAAAGGTCACTGTTATAACAAATGGAGATTATAGACTAACGCTTTATTTAAAAAAATGCAACCTTAAAGTTGGTAATATATTCAACGATATGCATTTTCAGATGTTAGTTACCTACACTCACTTTTTTTTTTTTTCATTATTCACTGCTTCCTGACAAGTTATTACTGATTTTCACTGCCAGCTCCCTACAGCAAGTCCTGAAGCCTTGTCAAGGTAAAGGAAATGTCAACAGAGTTCTCAGTCTTGTTTTGCTGAAACTCAAGCTCCCGTTTTAGGATATTACTCCACGAGTGTTAAAGAAACAGCACCCCCTTTATCCAAACACAGGTCCTGTGTGCTGGACTGATCCAGGAAAGGGCCACGCACATATGCACCTGTGTGGGAGATGAGAGAAGGTACCGCTGGTCAAGAGGCCTGGAATATTCTGCCTAGAGACAGGATAGGCTCATCAGCTATATCTCCCAATTATTACAAAGCCCGTTCTGATCAGCAATGAAGTGCTAATCCCAACAACCACGTAGACATGGCTGGTTTACTCTGCTCGCTCCTCCTCTCTTTTCATTGTTTAGTTTCCACAGTCACCCTTGCCTGCCCATGCCTGAGTAGAGCTGAATTCAGAACCTAGTACTCCGAACCATTGGTCTCCCTCTGCAGAGTCAGCAGAATGGGCCAACAGCTCAAAGGAGAGTCGGCAGTCAGTCTGTGCAACTCTACACTAAGGCTGAGCCTGCCTGGGTTCTGCCCTTCAGCCCAATCCAGAGACAGGCCCCATGTGCTGACCGAGGGTGACCTGCCAGCCTGCGTGTCACTTATCGTGTGGCAGAGTGACAAGTCCCATGTGGCATTTCCACTGAGCTGACAGCCAGTGTATGCAACTCAGTCCAGTCCACCCTGCTCCCTGGGGAGGGGCTGTGTGTGTGACACTTTGACCTCAATTTAAAGATAGGACAAATGACACAGCCCCAGAGCCGCCCTGTCTAAATATTCTACATCACACATAGTGACAGCTGCTCCTCCTAGAAACCCAGTTTAGTCATCTGGCTACAAGATAGCTTAATTGCGTAAGAGAATAAATAGAAAGGCATCACATCACATCTCTGCGTGCGTATTTCATTATTGCAAAGACTCTTTAGTCTATTTCTCAAAAAAATAAAATAGAAAATATACTTAAATCTCAGAAATTTGAACTGTATTTAATGTGGAAGATAAAGTAAAAAACAAAAAACCCCAAACACCACACACACACATTCTAATTCACAAATCTGATTCAGAAGGTTTTCAGATCAAGAAAGAGTAAGTGTTTGACAAAGAACTGAGTTTGAGTTGCCTCTTTCCAAACAGACTTAGTTCTAAATGAAACCAAATAGCCAGGATGACTGATGCACATTCAATTCTCATTTTCATTTTTCCTCTGTATTCAGACCATCAACTTTATGGGTGTGCAACAAAGACATACACCTTGATTTGTGTTAATTATTAGACTCCCCTGCTCCCTGTAGCGGTAGTCCTTCAATGATGCACTTTGCTGGGTGCTATAATATTTAGTTTCATCACCTTTGGAGGAAGAAGTGGCAATTTTCTGAGCCTCACCTGTTAATTGCACTGCCTTGCTTCCCCTCAAGCTCTGGACCCTGGTCACCTCTTAAGTGAGGGATTAGTTTTCTTAGTTGATGAAAATCATAATTATTTCAATGCCCAGTAAGATGTAGATGTTCTAAAAATAAAGGGTTCGGAAGCAAAGTGCACTATTGTTTTATTTCCTAATTTAGCACAGCCATTCCCAGAGGAACCGTGTCATCGCAGCCAGGAACAGCTGCCCACAAGTATTTATGTTACGCTATCCAAAAATCTGGTTTGGCAACCAAAGCAGAGAGGAGAGAACGTGCCTCCAGGCTGGTTCTTTATTAAGGGCTCCAGGTGCTCACGTGACCGCCCGAAGGCATCCAGGTTCTGTCCAAATTTAGAACAAGGGACTCTGCAGTTTGGAAAGTCAATGACTTCCTTCCTTATCTTAGACTCAGGCCACTGCCTACTGTGAGCCATGCCGTAGGTAACACTGACTGAATAAGGAAGCAAGCCTTCTCGATATAAAAAAGCCTGTTGAAATGTTTGGAACTTTTTTCAATTAAAACTGCCTGTCAACATCTTGTTTAACCTTCTGAACATATTAGGCTGATCAGGACATTTGTCTGGGCTTCAGGACTTGATTTCAGAGTTCCTGCTCTGACGTGGTGGGAAGTGTCCTCTAGGCCCTCCTCCCTGTGTCTGTGTCTTGCTTGTTGCTTTCTCCTTCCATGGTCATCCTCCCTCCCACACTCAGGGGCCCTCTCTCTCAGCTGGGCTTGCATATCCTCTCTGGTCCCAGAGCGACAGAGTGACAGGTGTGTTCCTTCCCTGGGGAGACATGCTCTAAATTCATTCATTTTCTAACAATGAAAATCCAAAAGATGCTGTCAACTCCTAAGCAGACAAGCGTGAGACCTAAGTTAAGAGGATGCTGAGAGTCCCGTGGCCTGAAGGCTGGGACGTGCATATTGGGAGCCTGGCTAGCAGGGTCCCCTCCACCGTCCTGACCTGCAGGCTTCCCTGTCACCACAGAGAGGCAGGTAAACGTTAGAACGTCTGCAGAAGGGTTGCGTTTTCCCTTTAGTTATAGGAGGAAGAGGGCGGAGGAAGAAGGGACTTCTTGCGTCTGTATCTGTATCTGCGGTAGAGAACGGCCGGATGCGGGCTCGGGCTGATGCCCACCAGTGACCATGCACGGAGCACAGTGGCCAGCCATGCAGAAGGTGTGAGGATGAGAGACCCGGTGGCACTGGGAGGCCTGGGCCGACCCCGTGGGGAGGGCCCAGAAGGTGGTGTTGGAACACAGAAGGTTTGCCCACTGGGAATGTGGCTAGGAGGTCCACACCAACAGTCTCAGGTTTCCCACCCAGATATATTTATATGTATATAGGAAACCATAATATTTGTGATTTCATTGTAATCAAGACATTTATGCCAACTTCATACAAACATAATAGGAATCAAAGCAAGACAGTAACCTGCCGAAGGTGAAGTCTCCATGCTGTCGCTCGTGGACTCGATCTGTGAGGTAAAAGGACCGGAAGCCAGTGTGTCCGGCTCCCGGCCCGGGAGGGGCTTCTCACGCAACATAAAACCCTTTCATCTTCGCTCCCGGAACAACTAGTACTGAAGTTTAAATATCGGTGAAACATAACGTTCTTAATTTCACACCTCACAGAGCACAGCTGAAAGCTTCGTAACGACGTAAACAAAAGTTAGGCCAAGCACTGCAGACAAGGTGGAGGGAAGAATGGCTTCCCGCGGTGTCTATCCGGGTTTGCGCGGGAACACGTAACTAACCAACCGGCTGGCTAAGGCCACAGAAATGTGTTTTCTCGTATTTTGGCTGCTGACACCAGTCTCTTCTGACAAAGATGTGCTAACACTGGGTACAACAAACTGCATCTCTTCAATCAGGAAAACGCGACTCTGAGTTCTTCCTTACGTTCCAGCCTCATTTCCGCCTGGATTTCTTTTTGGTGGTGTCATAAGCACGAACGATTTCTTCCTGAGTAACAGCTCCATGCTCTTCCTGGGAGAAGGCGTACCCATCTGGAAGAAGCGCACAGGAGGAAGTGGGTAAGGGCAGGCCTGGGGGAGCACACGCGGTTTGGGAGAAGCTGCTTTTGAGGAAACGACAGCTGAGCTTCCACACATGGGCCCCCTCAGCCTTGGGTGCGTGGGAGCCTGAGACAGGGAGCCTGTGGCCCAGAAGGGGGGTGTGGGCAGTGCGGGGGTGGGGGCAGTGCGGGGGTGGGGGCAGTGCGGGGGAGTGGGCAGTGCGGGGGTGTGGGCAGTGCGGGGGTGTGGGCAGTGCGGGGGTGTGGGCAGTGCGGGGAGTGGGCAGTGCGGGGTGTGGCGGTGCGGGGGTGTGGGCAGTGCGGGGAGTGGGCAGTGCGGGGTGGGCCGGTGCGGGGAGTGGGCAGTGCGGGGAGTGGGCGGTGCGGGGGTGTGGGCGGTGCGGGGGTGTGGGCAGTGCGGGGGTGTGGGCAGTGCGGGGGAGTGGGCAGTGCGGGGGAGTGGGCAGTGCGGGGTGTGGCAGTGCGGGGGAGTGGGCAGTGCGGGGGTGTGGGCAGGGCGGGGGGGTGGGCAGTGCGGGGTGTGGGCAGTGCGGGGGAGTGGGCAGTGCGGGGGTGTGGGCAGTGCGGGGTGTGGCAGTGCGGGGGTGTGGGCAGTGCGGGGAGTGGGCAGTGCGGGGTGTGGCGGTGCGGGGGTGTGGGCAGTGCGGGGAGTGGGCAGTGCGGGGTGTGGGCCGGTGCGGGGGAGTGGGCAGTGCGGGGGAGTGGGCGGTGCGGGGGTGTGGGCAGTGCGGGGGTGTGGGCAGTGCGGGGGTGTGGGCAGTGCGGGGGAGTGGGCAGTGCGGGGGGGTGGGCAGTGCGGGGGGTGTGGCAGTGCGGGGAGTGGGCCGGTGCGGGGGGTGTGGCAGTGCGGGGGAGTGGGCAGTGCGGGGGAGTGGGCAGTGCGGGGTGTGGGCAGTGCGGGGGAGTGGGCAGTGCGGGGGTGTGGGCAGTGCGGGGGTGTGGGCAGTGCGGGGGAGGGGGCAGTGCGGGGTGTGGGCAGTGCGGGGGTGTGGGCAGTGCGGGGTGTGGGCAGTGCGGGGGTGGTGGCAGTGCGGGGGAGTGGGCGGTGCGGGGAGTGGGCGGTGCGGGGGTGTGGGCAGTGCGGGGAGTGGGCAGTGCGGGGTGTGGCGGTGCGGGGGTGTGGCAGTGCGGGGGTGGGGCGGTGCAGGGGTGTGGGCAGTGCGGGGTGTGGGCGGTGCGGGGGTGTGGGCGGTGCGGGGGAGTGGGCAGTGCGGGGGTGTGGGCAGTGCGGGGGAGTGGGCAGTGCGGGGGTGTGGGCAGTGCGGGGGTGTGGGCGGTGCGGGGGAGTGGGCAGTGCGGGGGTGTGGCAGTGCGGGGGAGTGGGCAGTGCAGGGGAGTGGGCAGTGCGGGGTGTGGGCAGTGCGGGGGTGGGGGCAGTGAGGGGGAGTGGGCAGTGCGGGGTGTGGGCAGTGCGGGGGTGTGGGCAGTGCGGGGTGTGGGCAGTGTGGGGGTGGGGGCAGTGTGGGGGAGTGGGCAGTGCGGGGTGTGGGCAGTGCGGGGGTGTGGGCAGTGTGGGGGTGGGGGCAGTGTGGGGGAGTGGGCAGTGCGGGGTGTGGGCAGTGTGGGGTGTGGCAGTGTAGGGGTGGGGGCAGTGTGGGGGTGGGGGCAGTGTGGGGTGTGGCAGTGTAGGGGTGTGGGCAGTGTGGGGTGTGGCAGTGTAGGGGTGTGGGCAGTGTGGGGGAGTGGGCAGTGCGGGGTGTGGGCAGTGCGGGGGAGTGGGCAGTGCGGGGGTGTGGGCAGTGTGGGGGTTAGGGGGTGCGGGCGGTGTGGGGGTGCGGGCGGTGTGGGGGTGTGGGCAGTGTGGGGGTGTGGTGGCAGGATGCAGCCTGGTGGGCTCATCGAAGGGGTTCTGGCTGCTGATGCTGGGATGGGAACGGCTCTGAGGGGCGGCCTCCCGTTTAGGAGCTGAGCTGAGCTCAGCCTGGGAAGCATAAACTGGGTCACTGGTCTGCACTTTCCCACCACCAAGCACGTTGTCCTGCTCCGGAAATGTGCGCCTGACGCTGCAGGCCAGCAGGGAATTTATGAGGCTGTAACGTGCCGGGCAAACACGCACCAGCTCACAGTGAAAGCTGGCAAAGGGCATGCTCAGAGCGGTCCTGTTTCTAAATTGGGCTGATTTGGGCTGGGAATAAGAACTTACAGTGGGTAACACTTCTTATTTTTATGCAAAGAAAAAGATCACAAGATAAAGGCAAGAGGAATTTAGTGATTGGCCCTGTGGCCACAGCAAAACTGGTTCTTACAATCAGCTCCAGTAATAATAGAAATAATAATAATCCCATATAATAAAAGCCTAATAAACAAATTGACCGACTGGTGGAATTACCAGTCAGTGGGGGCTGGGGCCAGTGAGTGGGCAGCGCCAGGCCAGCCAAGGCGGGAGGCAGTGGGCAGAGGGAGGGGACAGTAATCAGGGGGTGGCAACCGGCAGTGGTGGAGGGGCAATGGGGTGGGGCGTGGAAGGGAGGGGCGGGCCACTTGCTGGTCAGAGCTATCCTCTGATCACCCTTCTGGTTGCCTCCTGCAGAAGGGGGCAGACTGCAGCTTAGACCACAGGGAGCGGGCCTAAGCTGTCAGACAAACGTCCCTTGAGGGGCTCCTGGTCTGTGAGGGGGCACAGGCCGGGCTGAGGGACCCCCCACCCCGAGTACACGAATTATCATGTACTGGGCCTCTAGTAATAGTAATAATAGCAACCAACAATTATTAAACACTGTGTGTACCAGGCACTGTCCTATGTACTGTGCACAAATGACTATCTATTCCTACCCCTATGAGATAGATGCTAGTATTCTTCCCATTTCACAGATGGGAAAACTGAGGCATGGAATGATTTCACCATCTGCCCAAGATCACAGACCTAGTGAGTGTCAGTTTGGAGCCAAACCCAGGCAGTGTTTATGCAGGGCCCACCCTTTCCTGCATCACCAGTTCTTTAAAAGGTTTAGCAATAGTGGGCTTTCCTTCTTAATTGGTTCTGCCCACAGATGGGACATTTATAAGACTCCCTCTCTGTTGGCTAACCCTTCTGGCTCAGCGGTGCAGAAAAGTCCCACAGTTGGGCGAGACATTCTGACCAAGACAACACAGTAAAAAGCCTAACGAAGGTGACTCCCACCCACACCTATTTATGACTGATCAATAGAGCTGTTAATCATCATCGTCTATACAGGAGAAAAATAAATCAGAAAGTCTCCCGGATTATAATTAGTTATTCAGCTCAGACAGCTGGCTTAAAAAGGGGAGTGCTGGAGTATACAGACATACAATAACAATGTGTAAGAGAGCCTTTGAGGGGATGGAGAAGAAGAGACTTCAGAAGATTCTCAGGTGACTTCCTACTCTGTGTACGACCACAGACTCAGAGCTCTGTCCCTGGGCTGGCTTCCCAGTTCTGGACAGCCTGCCTGTCAGCACCACCCGGGAAAGCCGAGGGCAGGCGGGCCACCCTGGAGGCCACGGCTGCTCTCCAGAGGCGGGCTTGGGGCCGTCTGAGGACATGGCGGGGCAGCCGGGAGCGGGTGGGTGTGAAAGCAGAACAAGCAAGTAAGCCTGACCCAGAACAGAGAGCAGTCTTCCACAGGGACTCCTGTCTACCCGCTTACCTCCATCTCTAACAAAACCGAACCCACAAACCCCAAAACCCTACTCGGTGTGGTTGCCAGAGGAAGCAGCCAACCGCCTAGGCCAGTGTGAGCAGCACCTGGCTGGGTACTGAGCAGGCTTGTCACATGCCTGGAGCAGAAACTCAGAAGTAAGCCTGGAGAGGGGCTGCTGGCGTGTTCCGGCTCTTCTCCTGACCCCTCTCTCCCTCCTCACTCCCTCTCCCCTTTCCCCTCTCCTCTCCTTCCTTCCCTCCCTCCCTCTTCCTCCTGATGCTGGGCTGCCAGCCTGTCCCAGGACAAGTGCTCTTTGTGCAGCATCTTCATCGCAGTCCCAGAAGAGACACCTTTCCTAGGGATGTTTCAAAGAAAAATCTGACAAATACCACTGTCTCCTCCTGTAACAAGACTGTGTCCTGGGGTCCACGGGGACACTTCCTTCTGCAGCCTTTGAAAGGCAATGTTCCCAGTAAACACCTGATGTTTCTGGGAGTGGGTGGAGAGGGAGGGGTCAGGAGCCTTTGGTGTGACGGTCAGTTCACTGGAGGTGAATCTCTTTGGACCCAAGGTGCTGCCAGAACGATAGTCCTGCCAGGGCTCTGTGCCCCCAGGTGGATGCTTCTCACCCGACAGAGATGACTCTGGTCCCGAGCAATGAAAGGCCTCGGGAGTGCTCTTCCCGAACCTGCCTGGGACAGGTTGTGCTACTGCGTTCTCTGCCCTGCAGATGGCTTTCCCAATCTGCTCTGCTCTCACCATGGATCCGGACCTGGGGCTGAGGCACTGGGGGTAAGGGGCTGGTTCTAATCCCTGCCTGGCAGTAGCTTGGTCCCAGGACTGTGGCCTCTTTAAGCTTTCTGGGTCTCCTTGGTTTGCGTTCCTGTAAAACAAACGGCCTGGACCGGGTGAGGCCCAGGTTCTCACACTCTTGCCCTGGCTGGGTGTCCCGGGGCGGCAGAGCCCGCTGCCTCCGTGCCAGAAAAGGGCACCTGTCTCAGCAACCAGTCCGAACAGAACAACTGCCACCTCTCTTTTTGGATGTGTGTTCTGCGGGGAGAGGGGCGGAGGGAAAGGAATAAAAGGAACTTGTTGAGACAGAAACATTGTTTGGGAGCGTTCTTTTGGGAAAGGCATCTGAGCCTTTGGAACTGTCCACTCCCTATTAACCAGAAGGAGCGAAAATCTGGCCTTTCATTTGCTCTGTTTTTCATTCAGACCCCGCCTGTGCCTACTGGGAAGCCAACTGCAGTGGTTTTTCTGCTTGTAGCTCGATGGGCCCTGGCTTCTATCTGCCTCACTGGCATGAGGGCTTCGCAGTGGATCACTCCTCACTCAGCTTCCAGCAGAAGAGACGGCAGAGAGGGGCTCCTGGTCCAATAGCAAATCTTCTCTCGGGGCGAGCAGAGCACCCGAGGTCACTACCTCACTACCAGGTGGTCTCTGACAGTTCCTACTCACTGTCATCATGTTTGCACCTGTCATCATGTTTCCAAAATGTTGTGCACTAAGACTTTCTGAACCAGACTTTCTTAATCTCAACTGAGACTTAAGGTGGATTTTGCAATTCAAGACTAAAAGGAGGATGGCCCAATAGGACTACCCAGGGGGTGGAGATAAACTATTTCCCTCTCAGAAACCAGGTCTGGTTATAGTTAGAGTCACACTGGAAGAAGTGTCAGTGGGACAATGGCATTTGTGAGCCCAAAGTGGGGCTGCACCCCTCAGCCTGGCAAAGACACATCAGTTCACCAGCTCCTGTCTGATGACCATTAACCTGGCCTTGGCATCCAAACGGGCAGCTCCGGGGGAGCCCCCAGCGCTTAGCAATTCCCACTTCCGTTCATCTTTCAGGAAGTCCTGACAGTGCTGATGAGGGTGGCTAGACATGGGGTGATCTTCCTGGGTAAAGCACAGAGACTTTTTTCCAGTGATTGGAGAAAGCGCTCAGTGGTCCAGCTCTGAGCTCTCCCTGGCTGGCCTAGAACGTCTGCCTCCACAGAAGGAGGACAGAAGGAGGTGGGTGAAAGGAGATGCAAAGGCAGGTGAATCTCTTCATTATTTTGTCTAATAGGACATTTGGTGAAGTTTGTAAATTATGTCGGTCTTTTTTCATTATTTTGGAATAAAACTTCCCTTAAGTAGCATTCTTGTGAATCTGAGCTCTGATGATATCTTTATGTAAAAAATATATATTTTATTGACTTTTACAGAGAGGAAGGGAAAAGGATAGAGAGTTAGAAACATCAATGAGAGAAACATCGATCAGCTGCCTCCCACACAACCCCTACTGGGGACTGAGCCTGCAACCCAGGTACATGCCCTTGCCTGGAACTGAGCCTGGGACCCTTCAGTCTGTGGGCCAACGCTCTGCCCACTGAGCCAAACCGGGCACTGATAATATCTTAACAAAAGTAGCAGTTTTCTGCCTGGAAAAATATTCCTAATAGCAGTAGAATTGGGGGATACCCTGGGACGATAAGGGGATTAGACCATATGGGAAACACTGATTGGTGTGTTGGTTGGTGGCTCATAAGGAACCAAAAGTACTTCTAAGATTAGACTTTCCCCCAGTTTCCTGGGAAGACTGAGGCCCAAGACAGCTGATGGTTAGACCCAGGAGGACATGCAGGGGCCTAGACAAGCTACGCAGAACTTCTCACATCCCAGGAGCAGTTCCAACTGCTTGATAGCCTCGTATAGTTGTCCATGACAGAAACATTCTATTATCAATCAGGTATTACTATGCATTATGCTTCTTAAATGTGTTGTGATTTTAGAAGATTTTTCATTTTTGTACTTGCTCATTAGAATTCTTTTGTCCTTTAAAATATTAAAAATTCAGCAAAATGTTTAGTCGTTGTTTTAAGACATTTTATGACTCTTCCTCAGAAGTTCTCACTTGGTCTTTGATCTACACAGTTTACACTGTTAACTCATGAATCGTACAACTCTTGAACAACATAGGCCTGAATTGTGTGGGTCCACTGATATGTAACTTTTTTTCAATAAACCCTCTAAACATATTTTCTCTTCTTTATGACTTTGTTAATAACATTTTCTTTTCTCTAGCTTACTTTGTTGTAAGAATACAGTATCTAATACAATATAACATAAACAATATGTGTTAATCAGCTGATTGTGTTACCAGTAAGACTTATGATCAACAGGGGTATTAGTATTTATGTGTTGAGGGAGTCAAAAGTTACATGCAAATTTTCACCTGGGGTCGGCACCCCTAACCTCCTACTGTTCAGGGTCTACTCCCTCAATTCCTTCTTGATTACTTTGAAGCATATGTAGTTTGGAAACCAGCATGAGTTTCTCCGTGGTATAGAGAGGGCGCTTTACATCCATCATTGGGAACCCTCACAAAGACTAAGTAAGCTCATATTATTGTAACTCTGTTTTCCCCCAAAGGATAACAGAAGTTTCGAGAAATATGTAAGTTGCCCCCAGTTACTCAACTATGGCAGAAAAAAATAGTGATGCCTAACGTTTATTGGACTCTATATTGTCAGGCACAATTCTAGGCACCTTACGATATCATTTAATCCTCCCAACAGCCCCAAGTAGGTTCTCATATAATCTCCATTTTACAGATGTAGAAACAGAGAGGTCAACTTGCCTTCAATGACAAAATCGTCACCCCGCCGGAACCGGACTGAAGGCAGCTCAGCTCCGGAGGTGGACCTCACACACCTCACTCTTCGGATTTCCCTTCCAAGCCTCCTGACCTGACCCACTCTCTCGGATCAGAGACACCACAACTGTGATTCTGATCTGGGCCACACTGGGCCAGTTACTGTGCTGACCCCATCCTCTGCCAGGTGCTCTTGGGGCTGACACCACCTCTCTCCGGGGCAGTGGAGCACTAAAGGACACACCAGGCAGGTGAGGCCCCATGTGGAGCTGGCCCCTGCCCCTGTCTCTCATGTTGACATTCCAGTGGGAAATGAAGAGAGGAAGTGGATTACTAAGAGGGATGCCATTCCACCTTTCCCTTCCCTCTCTGTATTGCCAGACACCCCTGACATAGGTCCTTGAGCACCTGCCCTGTGGATGCAGTGATTATTTTCCCTAAGCTGCTCTTGGTCTACCATCGCTTCCTTCTCACCTCCTCGGGAGGAACGGGAAGCAGGAAGCGAGGCCTGTGTGAAGAGATGACATGTGAAGTGTAAGAGGGAGTGCGGGCAGAGAGATTGGCAGGTTCAGAGATGCAGGGTCCCACAGGCCTACAGGCCTTAGCACAGGAAACCTGCAATCTAATGTCACCCCTCAGCGGGGAGCCCAATGGCTGGATTGCCAAAATAAGCCTACAGCTTCCCCATGAACTGTGGCAGGGACCCCATCTGCTTTCATGGCCTCCCTTCAGCTCCTTTGGGCTCCAGTGCCACCTCAGAGACCCTGTTCAGAGCAGGTGCCTGCGGCAGAAACCAGTGGTCAGAGCGGAGACACCAGTGCTAGACATGGGGTGGCCTTCCTGGATAGAGCACAGAGACTTTTCCCCAGTGATTGGCATTATTTTAATTAATATACTAATCCTATATAATAAGACCCTAACATGCAAATTGACCAAATGGTGGAATGACCACGGAATGACCAGTTGCTATGATGCACACTGACCACCAGGGGGCAGACGCTCAATGCAGGAGCTGCTCTCTAGTGGTCAGTGCGCTGCCACAGGGGGAGTGCTGCTCAGCCAGAAGCTGAGATCATGGCTGAGGCAGGCAGCAGTGGTGGCAGGAGCCTCTCCCACCTCCATGGCAGGCGGGCGGTAAGGAGCGAGGGGTCGGGGTCTGTGAGAGGGGGCAGGCCAAGCTGAGGGACCCCATCCCAGTGCACAAATTTCATACACTGTGCCTCTAGTATTAAATAAAACCCTGCATATTGCTATCTTTGGGGAAACCAATTTAAAAGTAACATCACTTCAACCTTAGAAAAAATGCTACTGGGAGGCTGACAGAGGATCTTAACCACATCAGATTTTAAGTTTAAGAATTTTGTCATTCAGGCATTTGATTGGGTCCCAGGGAACTACCTATATGCAAGCTGTACTTGCCTCAGGCCAAACACACGCATTTCACTTCTAAACGCGGTGCTCCAGCTTGGCAGCTGTCTCCTTCCCTCTTAACGATGCCCAGGCCTTCATTAAGCTTCCCACCTTCCCGCGTGGGCCAGGTCTCGCTGGCCTGCGTGGGCCGTGGTGACTACTTACGTGGGACACTCTGCTGGATGGAACCTGCTCGGAAGAGAGTCGGGGGGGTCTTCTTGCTGAGCCTCTTTAACAAGTGGTCTCGCTCATTCATCCTGCAGGTAAATCAAACATGTCAGTCTCCAATTCACCTGGATACATCTCAAAGGTTCTGGTTGGATGACTTCCGGTTGTAAAATAAAACAAACGGGGGGTAGGGGGTTTGGAAGCTTCCTTCCCGCCGTCAAGTCAAACGTCCAGGTTTGCACACCGCGCACTGTTGACGGTAGATGCTATCTCGACACTTGGGGCGCACGGCCCCCTCTTCTAAAAGGCGCTCTGTGTTCGCCGCCCTGTGCACAGCGCCCCAGCCCTCCGCCTCCCTCCTAATTGAAGTGCACTACAAGTGCCCTTTCATACCGGGCAAACCCCGGCTTCCCGGAACACTTTGGAAGGAGCGATCTGTTTCTATGGTGAATGTCTTAAAAGCCTCAGTCCCACCTGCAGCCTCCTTTCCTCGAGCCAGCAAACGGCACTAGGGCCAGAGCCGCTCCCAGGTGCCCCGGACCCCGCAGGAGACAGGCTTCTTTCCACACTACCTGATGCTTATTATGAAACACAATAAAAATCAAGGTGAGCTTTCTTTGAAAACATAAGGATGGGGAGCTCTTCCTGCCTTTCCAGAAATTATTCCCGCCCAGGCCACCACAGCTGTGAACAGACATGAGCTGTCCCGGAGGACGGCGTCTCCATTCCTGTCAACCGAGTGGGTGCCTGAGAACGGCCCAGGCGGCCAGAGCGCTCTGATTCCTTTCCATCACTCTGCCTGCTCCCAAAGAGATTTCTACCCTGTTTCCCCGAAATTAAGACAGTGTCTTGTCTTATTTTTTTCTCCCAAAGTTGCGCTAGGTCTTATTTTCAGGGGATGTCTTATCTTTCCATGCGCTAGGTCTTATTTTCGGTGGATGTCTTATTTTCGGGGAAACACGGGTAGTACATAGCGTTCGCCAGTGCCCTCTATTATGGGGTAAATTGTGTCCATCCCCTCTCCCTCCCACACATTCATGGGCCCAATTCCTAACCCCCAGCACCTCAGAATGTGACTGCGTTGGAAGAGGGGGTCTTTAAGAGGTGATTGTGTTAAATGAGGTCATTAGGGTGGGGCTTTAATCCAGGACCACTGGAGTCCTCATGAGGAGAGGAGTCTAGGACACACGCAGAGGAAAGACCGCGTGGAGACAAAGGGAGAAGACGGACTTCTACAAGCTGAGGGGAGAGGCCTCAGGAGAAACCGAGCCTGGCCACACCCTGATCTTGGACTTGCAGCCCCATAACTGTGAGACAATAACTTTCTTTTGTTTAAGCCCCCAGTCTGTGGTACTTTACTATGGCAGCCAATACACCCCAATCTGCTGTCTGTGGGGACTGGAGGGTTAAGGAGCTTCAGCTGCTTGTGATCCAAAGCACCTCCCCTGGCCTGGCCCATGAGCCTCAAGCCCGAGGAGGCCCTTCTCCTGACCAGAGTCCATGTCACCACCTCCCTCCACCCCCACGGGCCTTTGAAAGAGGACCAGGGCCCTGGGTATTCTCAGTAGTTCTATGAGCTGAAGTTCATTTTGCACTTGGGTTTCCAAAAGAGAGCATTTTCTGGTCCTCTTGGTTGAAAGGACAATGTTTGACTCATCACCAATTAAAGGAGAGCCTGCGCTAGCTAAACATGTATGCACAGGTCCCTTCCCAGGGCAGGACTGAGCCACGGTTGGCAAGGGAAGGTGAAATACCCAAGTCAGCTAATCCTTCCCTGTGCTACCACTCTCCGGCTCAGACCTGCAAAGAATCTGGGAATCACCACACGCTGCCACCTTCATGAAGGTATTCACTGAGGTACAAACATTTTTCACCAAGATACATAGCTGTTACGTTGACTCATAACTTTCACAAACTTAGACACGGCTTGTGCTTTCCATCGCACTCATGCACCAAAACCTGTAAACGTCAGGAGTGGACCTGGTTGTGAGAACTACTTCAGATTTTAACCAAATAATAAAATCTCAAATATAAAGCCCCCTTATACTCTTCTCTGATTCCATTCTTCTTCCTTCTTCTATAATAAAGTTAGAAATAATATTTTGTTCATATTTCATACTTTGTTCTATATTATGCATTCACGTTAATATATAATTTTGTTTTAAAATATGTCTAAATGAAATTATTTATTTTATACTTCTAGTTTATCCTATTTTTGCTTTGTTCCTTCTTTTCTCCTTTCTTTTTTATTTATTTATTTTTTTTATTATATATTTTATTGATTTTTTACAGAGAGGAAGGGGGAGGGATAGAGAGTTAGAAACATCGATGAAAAAGTAGCATCGATCAGCTGCTTCTTGCACACCCCCTACTTGGGATGTGCCCACAACCAAGGTACATGCCCTTGACCAGAATCGAACCTGGGACCCTTCAGTCCACAGGCCGACGCTCTACCCACTGAGCCAAACTGGTTTTGGCATTTTCTCCTTTCTTATCATCTTTACATTATCTACTCACGTAGAGGACAAGTTAATCTCTTTTCCTTCTGGACACTTAAAACTTTTTAAAAAATTGATTTCAAAGAGGAAGGGAGAGGGAGAGATTCCAACATCAGTGATGAGAGAAAATCATTGATCAGCTGCCTCCTGCATGCCCCACACTAGGGGTAGCGACCGCAACCCCAGGCATGTGCCCTGACAGGGAATTGAACTAGGGCCTCCTGCTTCATGGGTCGACACTCACCAACTGAGCCACAGCGGCTGGGCTCTTCCGGGCACTTTTATAATCCTCTTTGTTTTTGGTGCTGTACACCTTCATAACAACACTTAGTATGACTAGGTGTAGATTTGTTTTATATTCCGCTCATTAGTCAATTGGAAAATTTAAATCAAATAGATAGCACTTAACATCTATTAAGAGGGCTATAATAAAAAAACAAACAAAAAGCAGAAATAACAAATATTGGAGGGAATGTGGAGTAAGGGGAACCCTAGCACATTACTGGTGGTACTGTAAAATGGTGTGGGCATTGTTCTCCAATCAGCTCAGCATGGAGTTACTGTATTAGCCAGGAAGTCCACTCCTAGATATACACCCAAAAGAATTGTGATCAGAATCAAATAGATACTTGAACACCAGTATCTGAAGCAACAGTTATTTACAACAGTTCAAAAATGGAAATGAGTTAGATATTAACTGATAAACAAAAACATTGTATATCCACACAGTGTAGTATCATGCAGCCATGAAAAGGAACGAAGTACTGATATGTGCTACACAGGCATAAACCTTGAAAACATTATGGTAAGTGGAGGGATACAAACCGAAAAGGCCATATATTGCATGATTCCATTTATAGGAAATCTCCAGAACAGAGATTTCCTGTGTAGAGACAAAAAGAAGACAAGTAGTTGCTGGGACTGTAGGTTGGGAGTGTGGGGAGGGGAATGGGAGTGACTGCTTAAGGCAAACACAGTTTTCGTTTGGGGAGTTGAACTATGTTCTAGGATTAGACATTAGCGATGATTCCACAACACTGTGACTATACCAAATGCCACTGAATTGCACACTTTAAAATGGTAAATTTCATGTTATGTGAATTGTATCACTCTATTAAAAAAAATCAATTAAAAAAGCAAAAAGGAGGGGAAAGGGCTCTGAATCAAGGTATATCCCCTCCCATCAGCTGCACTGTTGGTTTATTTCTCCAGTGGTGGCGTAAGAAGGTGCTGTCTTTGTTTTTTTTCTATCCTAGCTTAGCAGGTATGCTGACTGGAACGTGCAGATAGGAAATGTGCATGTAAACAAAAATTCACCAGAGGTACATGCACTCTTAGTGCCTCCCAAACAATAGTGATGAAACTCAGTCTCACACGAGTCTGTCCACCAGGCTCTGTTTAAAAGCTTGACATGAGGAGGTGGTGTGCTTCTGTCTCAGAAACTGAGCAGTGTTAAGAAGGAGAGGAGAGCTGAGAAGCCAGTGTTGGGAAATAATAAACTCTTTTGTCCACAGTCCTGTCAGGAGGCTATTCCTGCAAAAACTACGCACGCGTAACTGCCAAAGCTCAGGAGCATGGAGAATATAACAAATAACTGCACATTTGTTTTTAAATCTTGTCAGTGGTTATAGCTGGTAGGAATTGCAGCTGACACCTCAACAAATCCAAAAACAAATAGGTATTTCTAGAAACCTACCAGTATTTTTAAATTAATGCTGAACGGCCTTCAAAACATAAATTTAATAGGTTCCTCAAGAAAAAAGCTTGTCCAAAATTCCTTTTCCTTGAGGCAAGGCCAAACATCTACCAACTGATCAGAGTGTGGAAATTCTAACCTATTTTTAAGGATCCCTAGAAAATGAGATTTCACAGCCTCAATCCGTAACTTATTTTACTAATTATAATCTAAACATTAGGAAATGAGGACCATTTGGGCTCATGTGTATTCCAGACCTGCCTAGGCCTTTGTAGGATCACTTCATTCAGTACTCTTACAAAAAGTAGGTGTACAGTTGTGAATATCTGAAACAGAGTTTATTCTTGTATTATTTTTAAAATATATATTTTTATTGATTTCAGAGAGAGGCAGGGAAAGGGAGAGAGAGATAGAAACATCAATGATGAGAGAATCATTGATGGGTTGCCTCCTGCAGGTCCCACACTGGGGGTCGATTTTTATGGTTTCACATTTGTTTCATATGCCCACAAATCAGGCATATGCCCTGAGCAGGAATCTTATCGTGACTTCCTGGTTCATAGGGCGACACTCAACCATACTGGCCAGGCAATTCTTATATTATTGCTTATTAATTACTATACTATTAATTAATTATTTCATTTCCCACATGAACAACTGTAAACCTACTTTTACCTCATCTGGTAATGAGGGAAAATAACAAGAATAAAACTAAATAAAATAGGTTTTCCATGCAAACATTCCAATAAGATAGGAGTTACACCCTGGATTAGGAGTCCATCAATAATTCTCTTTTATTATATGGTAGTAAATTATTTTCTTTTTTTCTTTCTGCCAATTCATACCCAGCCCATTTTTATATTTATTTTCTTATTTTTATTTTGGATTCAAATTT